TTTTATGAAATTATGTGTTGAATAAAATTTTTGAACTAATATCTTCCTAACATGTCGATATCGGGACAAAACAAAACAAGTATACCGACATATTTTTCCTTTTTTAAAAGAAAACTGAGCAGTTTCGAACTTTTGTAAAGAAAGCCATTGTATGAGGACTTTTTAAGCTAAATATCTTCTCCATTTAAAAACCCATTGGTCAATGCAGTCAATGGTTTATTGCCATCTCCCTCTTTCGACCACGAAAGCCACAGTGATCTCTGTAGCCTGGGGCATTTTATACCTTTCAGCTGCTCAGAGGGTAAAGGTCCAAAAAACAGTCGCCCGGGAAAAACCCGCTGAGCACTGCCAAAACTCAGACAATTCGTTTCGTTTGCCAGTACAAAGAGAATATCTTAGTAATACGAACAGTTCTTTGAAAGCTGCGTAGTTAAAATACGCATGGTCCGTAGGCTTGGGGCCCCTGTTCGCCAAAGGGTGCATGTGTTTTGGTCACTGGGGGGTAGGGTTGCTCCAAACCCACCTTGAACGTTTTAAATTGTTCAAACGCTTTTTGGCGCGAGGCGAACGTTTCTGAAATGAAGAAAAAAGACGATTCGGTGGTTCTCACAATTTTTTTTTCCAAACCTCTCGGGGGGGGGTGCGCTGCCGGCCATGCTAAACTCGAAGTCGGTCAAAGCGTCGGGCGCTCAGTAGTACGTGTAGGAGAGCGCACGTAGGGTGCGGCGGCCACGGCGGGGGGGTAGGCGGCAACGGGGGGGGTGTAGGCGACGGAGGGGGCGTACGAGTAGGAGTAGGCGGGGGGCCCCTGCGTACGCTGCCGGGCGTACGACAGGAACTGGGGCTTGGCCTGGGCCACGGCGGCCAGCACCACGAGGAGGAAAACGACCTGCAACAGCGGCAACAGGACCAGTCATTTCAGCTTGAGGCCGGGTCGGGTTGGAACGACGAGAACAGTGGCCCACTTTCGGAGGAGTTCATGGTGGTGGTGAGTTTGAGCTGCTGCGGACTCAAATGTGACGCTCTGCCTCCACGGCCGCCGTTTTATACGCGCCGCCTGGATGCCTGGTGGCCCCACCCGACCACAGGTGCGAGTCGATGCGAGGGGGAGGCAGGGGGGTCATTCAGATTGTGGCAGTATAAAAGGAAAATAATCGAGCGTCGATCCGCGCTGGCCCAAAGTTTCTTTTTTAAGAGAAAAGGTCCCTTTTGCCGGAGACTTGACCTTTTTACGCCCAAAAAACTTAAATGAAGGGGCCGCAAGAGTGGGCCTTTTAAAGGCGCTACGCAACATGAGGGATGAGAAAATTTAAGAGCTCAGTCTCCCGAAGAAAACATCAAGTGATGCTCCTGTGCAGAGGGGGGTCTTTTAAAATTGTTTTGTGATATCTGAACATTGATTTCGAAAACTGTTTCCGATTTTCAGGTTGTGCAGAAAATGAAAAATTTTCAAAAGTTGCCTTCGAAGCCCGTAAGTTTTTATTAACAACCAAAAGTTACCCGAAACGTTCCCCTGTTCTTTGGGGATTGCCTAAATTTGGTCTCGCTTGATTTGGGGCTTGAATCGCTTCCTTCCGACACCGATGACGCCACGACCGCCCCGCCCCCATATCTGCCCCCACTCTGGTCGACGCGGCCCGCTGGGTCCATCAAGCGGCGGGCTGTGTATAAAACAGCGGCTGTGGAAGGTGAGCGTCACATTTGAGTCCAGCAGCTCAGTCTCACCACCAACATGAACTCCTCCGTGAGTCCCGCTGTCGTTTTGTGGTGCTGCGGACAATAAAAGTCCCGCCCCGACGTGTTTGCTTACTTTTCCTGTTGGTGCTGTTGCAGGTCGTCTTCCTCCTCGTGGTGCTGGCCGCCGTTGCCCAGGCCAAGCCGCAGCCCCAGATCCTGTCGTACGCACCGGCAGCGTACGCAGCGGCCCCCGCCTACTCCTACTCGTACGCGCCCTCCGTCGCCTACACCGCCCCCGTTGCCGCCTACGCCCCCGCCGTGGCCGCCGCACCCTACGTGCGCTCTGCCTACACGTACTACTGAGCGGTGACCCCGGCCAAGCTCGCTTTTGGCGATAAACCCTGTGCCTTGATGAGAGGGAAATAAATCCTTGAATCACTCAATCTCTGTCTTTCGTCTTTGTGCCCTTTTATCGCCCTTACAACAACCAACCGTTACTAAAGGCAGAAACAACATGGTACAGGTCAGTTGCTTGAACGTCGCACGACGGCCTGGTTCACTTTGGCGAGAAAATACACTGGAGAAAGCATTTAGGAAGTGGATGAAGGGAACAAGTCCAATTAGGTGAGTTCCCAAAAGAAACGGAAACAAATTAGCAGTGAAATTTTATACTAAACTAATGGTTATTGTGAACGATGCGAAGTTCAAATAGCCTCAGTAAAAGTTTGAGAAGGAAAACATCAAAACTTATGTAAGGCCACTTGGTTTTTCTGCGAGTCCTCTCAACTGGTCCTCTCAACTGGTATAGTAATAAACTTTGTGGAATTTTGTGACAAGTCAATTGGAACTGAAGCTGAAAGTGCTTATTACACTGATATAGTTTCTAGGCTTTCGCCCAACTTCAGTATATTAAGTTCACCGTGTTTTGTAACTCCCGATTCATAAAAATGTGTAAGTTACATTGGTCATCTACTGAAAATATTTTCAATACGAATGCACTGTAGTTGCTTACATTTTCGAGTCGAGTCAAGCCAAGGCAGACTGGTAAAAGAGACTGGCGCCATGTCGTCGTCAAAATAGAGGGCGTAGGGAGGAAAGACCGTAGTCAGACTGCGAGTGCCGGCTGTCTCCAAATGTTTTCGTGAACAGCGAAGTCACACAGCGGTGACGCACAACGCCAGGCGACGCCAGGGAACTGCAGCAGAATTAAGGAATCATCTCTTTCGTTTCCCTACTCAACGGCCTTTGAGCGCGACAAAGATAGGAGGAGATCTCTGCGTCCACCTGAACAGACCTGCTGCGAACGGTCGGACGCGGACCGCCGGCTAATCGCCCTGAGGGTAGGCAGCCCCGTTTACTTTTGTGCCACATGGGTGGCCAGGCTTCTGAGAAGGTGGGCGTAGGTGTGCAGCAGAGCCAAGCACAGAAGGGCGTGCACTGGTAAAACTAAAGCGTAGTATTACCTTACGCCAGCGCGCCACGAAGGCAGGCCAGCCATTTGACACGTCACAGGGAAGCCGTACAAAACAAGACACCAATACACCAGCATACTGGTAAACGTATATACAAGCCACTGCAGCGTAAACTAATTGCGCTTGAAAACAGATGGTAATACTACGCTTTAGTTTTACCAGTGCACGCCCTTCTGCAGCAGTGAAGAGGCTGTGGACGATGGCTTGCCTACCTACGCGGCGCATGCTCAGAGCATTCCACTTTTTCGCCACACTCTAAATTTCTTACGAAGAAATTTCCCATAATACGAGGGAAATGGCGCAAGCATAATACGAAGGGGGTTTTTCTTCGTATTACAAAGGGTTTTTTCTTTGTATCTTACAATGAAGAAGCTGAAAAGTTCGTATTACGAAGGAATATTGCTTCGTATTATGCTTGCGCCGAATTCACTGTAACATACAAATAACTTAGGTCAAATTTCATTGTAAGACATTTAGAGTGCAGAAAGAAGACTGTTTGTTTGCAGCCCCAATGGCCCTCTACGTAGTGTCAGGAGTCTTACGGGAGTGCTCCAGCACAACATACCCGACTTTGGGACATTTTGAATTTTCAAAATCCTCAACTAGCGGTGAGAATCAGAATTCTCGCCGCGAAGTGGTGAGAAATTATTAACGCGTTGTATGATGGCTTGCAAGAACAATTCATGACAAAATTTGGTGAGAAATTTGATTCTCTCTCACCGCAAGACGGTGAGAAATATTTCTCGCCAAATTTTAATCGCGATGCTCAGCCTTCAGATTTCAGTGTACGTAGGATACCGCACGCTGTAATGCCTGGGTATCCTCTTATAAGCAGTGTGACCTACAAAGACATTAGATATGGGAGGGTCTCGCTTTCTGCACAGGTCTGTAGATCACGCATCGCCTACATTTTTCCCACCGCAGACTTTTAAGAAACAACACTTAACAAAAAAAATTTGGTCCATAATAGTGTTTGTATTTATGCTCATAGATCTTTGGCGATATGGCTATGGACAATACAATGAATATTTCAATAACACTAGATTGACGTGATAATTTGTGTCTTCGAAATACTACCAGTTAGAGGAGTACACAGGAAGGGATGAAGCATCTCCTAAATTTTGACATGGCATGAAAAACCAAACGTCAAAATGAATTTTCTTGGACATTTTTCAGTGTTGATTACGTAAGAAAACAGATACGAAAATAATTAAAAGCTCTAAATAAAACTTGCCTAAACTGAGCTTACACAATGATCATGTACACATTGGCATCGATGTAAGATTCAGATTTAAAAAGAAAATCAATCCATGTTAGGGGGCCGGGGATGGAGCTTGCGGCATAGAATCTATGTCACACCACGAACACAGCACTTCCACAGTAGCGTCGCATTCAACAAACATGTTCCAAAGAGCGAGATTCTGGGACTGACAATAAGGCAAGGAATGTTGACATAGAGATCCGTACGCGTTTACACGCTGAAGCACCAACCGCTTCAGACGCTTGAGGCCGCAAAGCCTAACCTCCAGCGCCAGGTCGGGACACCCGTACGGCTTGTCTACGTCCGCCACCAGCTGCAGTTCCTCCAGTGTGTCGGCGTGCGCGCGCGCCAAGGCCAGGGCGGCGCGCAGCGGGTAGAAGCCACAGCGCAGCCAGCGCAGGCCTGCAGGTGGCGCGGGGCGCGAGAAGACGGGAAGGGGGTCGGCCAGGGCGTCCTCGAAATTTTCAGTGCAGCTCCAGGAAGCGCAGGGACTCTTGGCCGCCACCTTTGCAGCCACTCCTTCTTGACGTCCACCGGGGCCCGGCTGTGCAGGCGAGGCATCGCCGGGCCTGGTCCACGTGCTGCTGCTGGGGGGGCACGAGCTGCAGGCGCTCCAGGCGGGGGGGCCACCCGCTGCAGCACTTGCTGGCAGAACGGAGCCGACGTGGAGCAGTCCAGGCCGGTGAGGGTCAGCACCTGTGGAGGAGTGGCGTCAGTGCCTGTCAAACGGTGGGCGGAGAGGCTCACGGATACGAGCACGGATATCCAACGAAATAAACCGCTAGAAAATGAGTCTCATTTTCATGTTTGAGATTGAAATACACTACAAACCTGTCTATTTACTGGACACTAACAAATGCATGCTTGCAAGTATACACTTACAAATGCATGCTTGCAAGTATACACTTACAAACGCATACATGGCCAAGTACACACAAATGCAAGCTTGGCAAGTACACATTTACAAACGCATGCTTGGCCATAGACAATCAACTATATCCATAGACCAACTGCTTCATGCCCGGGTGGGATCCATGTGTTACGCCGCTCCCCGATTGGGCCGTACCTTTCACTTCAACATTTTAAGGTTAAAAATCGAAAATGTCAATTTTAGAGGGGTGATTGCATTCAGCCTGTTCAAATCTATGTTTGGCTCTTGGTTTTTGAGCAAAGCTTTTTGGTATAAAAACCAAGTGAAAAAACAAACAATCAGTTGTCGGCACGAGCGGCACGAGCGGTGTTCCTCCGTAAAACTTCCTCTGAGGCTCTAAAATTAAAGTTCATTTGAAAAATCGAGCCGTTTGATGATATTCCTCATTTATGTGAGCTTCTTTTTCACCCACTGAAAGCAGCTGAACATCAACTTAAAAGGTATAAACTGTTCCACAAGTGTGGCATCGACTGCACCAAGCTGCCTCCGCCAGCGAACGCCGCGTTCTGATTGGTGGAGCTCGAGCCTCCTCGACCAATCAGGACGCGGCGTTCGCTGCCGAGGCAGCTTGGTGACCACAGCCGACCAAAGACGAGTGAAGTGAAAGGTAACGACCAATCAGGGAGCGGCGTAACACATGGATCCCAGCCTGGGCATGAAGCAGTTGATCTATGGATATAGTTGATTGTCTATGGCTTGGCGTCGTTTAACTCCATGCTAAGCATAAGCATTTGTAAGTGTGTAAGTACTTGGCCAAGTGTGCGTTTGTAAGTGTGTAAGGGGGAGTGGGGTCATTCCGGACACTTTGATTTTCACTGGGTTTGAGTGAAGATAACTCAAAAGCCCGCCTAACAGAGGAAGATAATCAATTAAAAACGATAATTCCAAATCGCCAAGGTAGGAGGTCAAGCCGTTTGGCTGTGGTCGCTTCTCGAAATTTGAGTAACCATCAAAAATAGGCAAAAGCTGCATCTTTACCTCGTATTTCCATGTACTTATCGTACCTTACCATCAAGTTAAGTCCCATGGTTAAAATTTTATCATATTATATGGTCTTAGGACTTTACTTTGGCGTTTCGGGAGTGCTCTTATGACTCGCCGTTTTCTTACAATTGAACATCAAAGGTTTTTACTACCTGTGGGGTAAATCCGGGCAAGAAGTGTTGTTTTCTTCAATTTCCCGCATAATGTTAAGGTAGTAGGTTCAAAATTGTAGACATGCATCCCCACCTTTGCGAAGCATAAAGAACGAACGAAAAACAGCATTGCAGCATTGAGCTATACTCACGGCAGTGTTGTCAATTTAGGGGTTTTGATAGAAATTATTCCTTATAATATGCTTTGAGTAATAATTAAACACTTTAGTTCGCAGCAAATGTCCTTGTACGCCTTCTGAAAGCATGCCTCACATCAAAACAAGCGAAAGTAAGCTCGAGTAGTGTCAAATTTTAAGGTCGTTCGGAATTGCCCCATAGGTCGTCCGGAATTACCCCAGCCTGGGGTAATTCCAGACACGTGCAAGGCTTTTGTTAGGCGCCTATATACACTGATAAAAATTTTGTCGTAACTTAGAGACACATTTATCGCTAACTTTTTTAGCAACAAGATTTGTTATGGAACGAATAGCTTGTTAAACCGCAGTCGTATTGGAACTAAGGGATAATTTCACAACGACTTACTTGTAATAACGCACCAACAATAACACATCAACGACAAGTATTGAAAGTCCAAAAGAAATTTTGTAATGTCTGCGACAATATTCATAGAGTACTTTTGTCGCTAAATTTATTTTTTTAACAATAGTAATTTCCCTATGACTTAGAAGAACAAAATAGATCATTATTCATAATATGCTTTAATTGAGCAGATAATTGCAAAAGATATTGTTTCCACACAAATTGTATCGTAAAGAGTGATAACAAGAATTTTGTTCTTTAACGACAAAATGTCGCTTACTAGACTCAACGACATTTGTTTCGCTTTGGTTCATGATGAAATTCTATGTTTTGGAACGACTAAATTTTCACTCATCTGATTGTTTCTGTACAACCATTTTTTAACAGTGTATAGATCTCCCTAACCGTTGCTGAGATTTGGCTTTTATGTATGTCATTTTGAAGGCAAAGGTCCATACTTTACTCTCCTGTTATAACATTTGACCCAAGAAGCATATTCAAGCTCAAAGAGCAAAAAGAAAAATAAGCGTCCGGAATTATCCCACTCTCCCTTACTGGCAAGAAAGCATTCGAAAGTAGACAGTTAGGATGGTAGTGTAATTTTGCTTGTTCGATGCTAGAGCTAGGCGTTCATTTTGTGGGCAATAGTATGCTTTTTCAGGGGCAACGAGGGGACTGCGAAAAAGCCCAACTCAATTTAAGAAACATTGATAAACTTTCTTTAAAAACTATTGATTCAAGTCTAGGGGTAAGAACAGTTTATCTAAGCTCAGCACTATTTGTAATCAGACCTTAACCTAGGGTTCAAAACCTAAAAAAAAGGAAACATATACTTTATACCTTCTGCAGACTTTCACTCGCCAACAAGTCCGCCTTGCCCTTGATTTGTTTGCTGCTGCTTGTGTTGAGCGCATCAAGAGCTGATGGAGTCACCTCAGAGATCAGGCCCTGCACATGACAGACAATACTAAGAAAACACTGCGATAGCATAAATGATTTGAGACGAGTCAACGCACTTACCCACGCTTCTAGCACTGGCCTCAGTTGGTAGAAATAGCTTTCTACAAGCTGCGCAGTGCAGTCAATCTTCACCTTCACCTTGGTGGAGTACCTGTCAGAGACGACCTCCGAGATGGCACCAGGCCCTTGGGCGGTCTTCACCCGGAACCCCTTATGCCACCGATCCTCATCTAGAGTACGGATCTCGTTGCTTCTCTCCACCCAACATGGCGCTGGACAACACGAGGAACCGAGCGAAAGACCGCTGTCAGACAAGGTTTCAGGCAATCGCTACGTGCAAACAGGGTGCAGGCCGCACCAGGCATCCGTATGTATTGTAACGAGAGAATTCTATACACGGTAAAAACGGTACCTGGTTTTCCCAGGAAGCCTATGGTAGAGACAGGCGATTTCCAGGGAGTTCCTGGGAAAACAAGGAACCGTTTTTACCGTGTAAGATTCATCAATATTATAAATTACTAACAACTAATTTTATTCCAGGAACGTGACCTCACGTTGAAACGAATGTGACAGAATATCACGTTGCAGAGAGCGTTGTGTCACATTCGTTTTAATGTGAATCAGCTAATTTATGGCCAATTTGCATTCAAACGAATGTGACACGGCACAGTCCTGAAAGGAACGTGAAATTTTATTACATTCGCTTCAACGTGATGATGTCACGTCCATGGGGGTGAGAGCGGGTGGGGTCTTTAAGCCAGCAAAAACGGCGTAATTTATTAAATTTTTTTTTTTTTTTGGGGGGGGGGGGAACCGTAAAACGTAATCTGAGGACGACCCCTTACCAGCCTAGGGAGGGAGTGAACTAGGCGGCACGAACAGGCTAGCTTCGTAATAACGGACACGTGTACGATATTTGCGATTGCATTAATGATAAGCTTAGGGGAATTCTCGGATTATGCAGGCATTACGGAATTAAGCGGCCTGAATTACGTTTACGGATTCACGCTGTCAGTAAAGAGTAGTAAGTAAAATAAACCATTTAACTCCACAGGCAGGACAAGTTATTCGGCGATTGCAACGGACTCAGAGTCGAACCTTACCTTGGGACGTGGCGTCCTGCTCGGCCTGCGCCTCTTGCTGCAGCTGCCCGCTGGCCGCCAGCACGCACAGCAGCAGCCTGGACGAGTCGTCCTTCGCGGGCCGCACCTCGCAGCGCCACGCCGCGTCTCCAGCGGCACCGCGGCGCAGCGTCACGGCGCACGCGGCGGTGGGGTCGGTCACGACGGCGGAGAGGTCCAACAAGGCCTGCGGCAGCCCTGCACACCGGGCAATGTACTATGAGCAAAGTCAATTATCGGGGACCGCCTTTTACAGCGACCCCCTAAGTAGCTCCTTATTTTATTTGAAGAATTGCGCTGAAAAAAAAATCTAGTCCAAAAAAGTCTACTTGGTCCAAAGCCATAAAATTGGAAATTAATTGTCATTAATCAACTAATTGTTAAGTGGACAAGGCCTGGTCTTGACGTCCAAAACCACAAAAATGTCTAAAACTATCTAACAGTGAATGCGTTTTGTTGAAACAAAATCACAAACAGAGGACTTAGGACCAGGACGGGCAAAAATGGTCGGGGGCAGAGCAGGTCATGAAAATCCGATGAAAGTTGCAGATTTTGAGATCATTTTAATGTCAAAAAATTAGGTAAATCTCCTCTCCACACGAGCCGGTGGCAACAATAGGCCTAGACACCCCCAAAACGCACGGATTCTATCTTTTGTTATCGAATCGATATATATATTTGTGAAAAAAAGGAGCAATTGGAAGGGTTTCGATTTTTTTTAGTGCGGAGGGGAGGGGGGAACTTAACTCAGTCCCATGAAACCTTTAAAAAAGTGTTGTGATGTTCAAATGATTGCATCCCATGCGGTCGCTTCGCACACACTGGTAAATACTCCAGCAGACGACTCTCTGCCGCTCTGCGTATAACGCTGTCCTCACTGCGCCTGCGCGCAG